GGTTAGTCCAGCCTGTCTGATCAGATTAAAGCTCACAATCCCAGTAATTAAAACTTGTGTTACTGGACGACAGTAATTTTCTTCTATCTCTCTTTCGTTCTCTATAAATGTGCATACATGCTTCATGTTTCATGTTTTGCTCTGTATCATCTTTACATCCATTGCCTCATACATACCCACATGCAATAAATCTCATTGTCCCAGTGTTCTGTTGAACTGCTCTGACATCACAGAGTGTCCGCAGGCAGAGAACTGGCAGAGTATGCCCTAGCATTTCTCTCGTTTCCCACACACACACACACACACACACACACACACACGCACATGCCTGAAGCTCCTTCACCAGCTCACGCAGTGTTGCTCACATGCACACTGCCTTCAGAAAGCACTGACCTTCTTTGCATTTCCAAATGTTAGGCTGTGTGCACTATCCTCAAGAAGCTATCACACCCTTCAGTGCTTCTGGGTATGTTTCCATTCAATCACTGTTTAGACTGAAGAACAGACAACCATTTGATGATGTTTATGATGTTAATTTAAGTCTGGACTCATTTTTGCTGAGTGCTCTGGGCCTAAAAATGTAGTGTCATCATGCTGGATGCTACATGTTGAGTTTTATATGCTCATCCACCACTCATCACCACATTCCGGTATCCCAAATATTCTTTAAGTAGGTTAATTAACCACGAAAGACCATGCTGGTCCAGCAGATAAACTAGAACCAAACATTAACCAGTCTGGACCAGCACAGAGCATCACAGCAGGGCAAACTACAGCACTTCTCTTCTAATAGGTCTCAGGATTTTTCACATGATTTTTTTTTTTTTTTCTCAGAAGAGACTTTCTTCAAATTACTTTACTAAATGGAGTTAGCTGATATCTGGTCAGTTTCTTATTTGAACTCTGAAATTCTGTCGTTGTGTAATTTTTTTGTCATGTTGCTCAGTATGGCCTCGTCTTAGCAGTGTTTCTAATGTGTCTCAGCCAAGGGTTCCTCAACTTAGGATCCAATCACAAACCAGTGCTCTCCCAGTGCTCTTCACTCACTTGGTGCTATGATTTCTGTTGTTTGTATGTTTGTCATTCCTTAGCTTTTTAAATGTTCTCTAAGGCTAAAAGCAAAGCTTTTGTAGGCCTTCATTGATGTGCCATTTTTAATGTTCTGTGAGTTGCTGTAAGATGATTGTTATTGATTTTTAGTTACGCTTCTTTGTGGAAGTCTCTCCCATTCTTTACCAAACTGACCTTTCCATAACTTTTCTGTCCCATTTGTATTATATTAACAGTCAGTTTCTGGCAACATTCAGAAATGTACACTTGATAGGTCTGATATGAGCTCCCATGTATTTTTAGATATTACTCTGTAAGCAGATCTGAGATCATTTGTGCTATTAGTGTTACATTGACATTTGCATTAGTTGTGCAAGTGGAAATTGGTGTGTGTGTGTGTGTGTGTGAGAGAGCACATTTTCATGTAACTGTTCTGACCTTGTGGTAAATCTGTCTTATATTCATATTTTCAACGGGATAATGACTCAAATACATTGCCCATTTTAAAACAGTCGCACTAGTTGCTTATTTATTTATTGTTTGTTTGTTTGTTTGTACCTGAGGTCCAGTTACAGTGTTGGTAAGAGTTTTACATAAAAATAAGTCATAATTTTGAAATATTTATTTGAAAGGGTATTTTCTTCCCTGTTTTTGATCCTCTAGTTTGAATAAAATTTTCAGAGCAGATCTTGTGCTGAACTGAAGTGATTTACATCTCATACAAAAGGAGTGTTCTTTTGCCAAACATTTTGATTTTGCGACAGAATGGCTGACGACATAAGTGATTACATATCAAAATAGTTGTGTTCATTCTACTAAAAGTGTAAACAACTAAAAATAAAACTAAACTAATTTAACTAAAAGTGTTTTTTTTTTTTTTTGCAAAGCTTGGTTACAATTCTGACATACCTATAAATAGCTGTGCCCTATGATCAGCCACTTAGTTGGCCAGTTCCCAAAATGTTAAAATCCTTTGGAAAGTATGCAGAGACACTGTTCTTCCACAACTAAGAACTGCTCGCTGGTCATTGCATGACAAGTTCATAGCTGGCCATAGGGATCAGTGCCTTGTCTAGTTTCTAAAGTCATTACCCTATTCCCACACTTATTTATTTATTTTTCGAATCCTCATGTGCAGAGACAATTATTATAACGTACAACTTATAAGTTATCCATTGGTAGGCTGATTTCATGTGGCACTTGCTTTTAAAACATGGCTTTGTATGTTTTCGTGGCCCACCAAGCTCAGCTGTTGTCTAGAGAAAGCTATCTGTTGACATTCCCATTCATCTCAGTGGCAGTTGCCAAGGCTGGCACAGGACCTGCGGAAGTACGCAATTAGAAATCACTTTCTAATCTCAGTTCTGGATACAGTTAAGTCAGTGACTTGAGTTGTAAATAACACTTTCATAAAATGCTTACTACATATAGTAATTACTACAACACAGCAGCAACCATAAAATAATTTTTATTGATAACAAATAATAATCCTTCCACCAAGCAGTGCAATTCTTCAGCCACGTTTACCAGACTCAGCAGTGATGCGTTAATACTGATGTAATGAAGTCAGGTGTGTTTATAGAGTATTTTACAACAACTTCTAGGTGGTTCAACCAATCATAATCAAGAAAGGAACTATCCATTTATGATTTGCATTTTGCTTTGAGTAAATGAGAATCAAAGGTTCACTGACATCCTGCTATGGTTTGTTTTAATATTTCATCAGCTGTGGGTATTCAGATGAAACTAGAGTTCTTCCAGAGGAAGTTCTGGACTGCCAGCAGACAGGTAATCACACACACACACACACACACACACACACACACACACTTTATTTCATTGTTTAATTAGTTAGCATGTGTTTGCAGTTTATTTGCATTAGCATGAAATACAATGTTTCCTGTGTTAATTTGGGTTTTAATAAATTTGATTACCAACTCAGTACAGAACCACTTCAATTCTGTGATGTTGGTGGGTTTCCTCATATGAACTGCTTGCTACAGGTCCTTCCACAAAATTTAAATTCGTTTAAGGCCCGGAATTTGACTCCGTCATTCCAAAACATTAACTTTGTTCTTCTTTATCCATTCTTTGGTAGAACGACTTGTGTGCTTGGGGTCGTTGTCTTGCTGCATGACCCACTTTCTCTTGAGATTCAGTTCTCGGACAGATGCCTTGACATTTTCCTTCAGAATTTGCTGGTTTTTAGTTGCTTAGAAGTTAGCCTGCAGTCCTTTGAAACCTAATGGATTTTACACGTCTTGCTTTTAGAGTGTTTTTTGTTGGTGGAGCACTCCTGGGGAGGGTAACAGTGGTCTTGAATTTCCTCCATTTGTACACAATCTGTCTGACTGTGAATTTGTGGAGTCCAGACTCGTTAGAGATGGCTTTGAAACCTTTTCTAGCCTGATGAGCAACACCAACTCTTTTCCCGAGGTCCTCAGAGATCTCATTTGTTTGTGCCATAATGTTTGTGCCACTTCCACAAACATGACCAAACGTTGATAGATCCCTGTTCTTTAAATAAAACAGGGCACACACTGACACCTGATAGTCATCTCACTGATTGAAAACACCTCTGAACAGATGGACTCTAATTTCACCTTCAAATTAACAGCTAAATCCTAGAGATTCACATACTTTTGCCGCTCACAGATATGTAATATTGGATAATTTTCCTGAATAAATAAATGATAAAGTATATATTTTTATCTCATTTGTTTGATTGGGTTCTTTTTGTCGACTTTCAAATTGTCAGTGATTTATTTGTTTGTTTGTTTAGATTAATGTTCTGGGTGATTCAACCATTTTAAATTTCATTTAAAACAAATCTATATTTTACTTCATTGCCTAATAGCTTTTTAAACTACATTGCCTAAAACCATCATATATATGATGCAATGACATATTGTTACAGTCTATCAAATTTGTAAATATTGATTTGCTTGCGCTTATTGCACTTAAGTTCTGTTATGTCTGGTGAAATCCAAAAACTGACAATGACAATAATCAAAACATACAAGCAAGTCAACCTCATAATGGTTGAAGAACAAGAAAATGTAAGTACTGGAATGGCCAAGTCAAAGACCAAGTTCAACTGAAATGTGCAGTTCATGCTCGAAAGCCTATAAATGTCACTGAGCTGAAGCAGTTCTGTGAGAAGGAGTGGGCCAAACCCACCTCAGTGCTGCTGGACACTCATTAAGAATGACCTATTCTCACTCCATGGGTATCAGAGCCATGAGCAAGGTAAAGCAACGTGCTCGTCACTCTTTGAACAGCCACAATATTTTTATTTACATTTACGTTATTCTTTTTTGTGTGTGTGTGTGCTGCTAACCCAATGCCTACTGCCAAACCCATTCATATCTCCATATAAAATGACAATATACAACACAGGATAATAACATGTGGATACAAGTACAGTCACAGTAATTTATTTAAAATTTACAAATATTCCAATTATTCCAAAATATTTTTTTCCTGATATTGTTTGCTGCCATAATAGTCTTCTTATGTTGTATCCGTTAGTGTGCAGCACTTGACGGGAAGTGTTCCATCAGCTGTGACAATGATGTGAGTGTCAACATTTGCTCTTTTTTCTTTTTCACTATTTGCAGTACACAATTATTCATGTTTTTGTTGTTTTTCTACCACCTGTACCACTTTTCTGTTGCCCCACCCAATGTAGGAAATCAGCTGTTACCTCATTGACAACAATGGATTCATAATTGTGGCTGAGGATCTGTCTTTGGTGAGGGACAATTATCTGAAGTATTAAGCTAATAAGCTAAAGTATGCATATGTGTGTGTGTGTGTGTGTGTGTGTGTGTGTGTGTGTGTGTGTGTGTGAATAAAATGAATAAAAGACTGTACTTTGCTAGATTTTTATTTTTATTTTTAGTATCACAGTTTATCTCAGTTGCTTAGACACAATCCATTCTAACCCTAACCCTATCCTGGTCTCTTTCAGACTGGTGTGTTCTTTGGAGAGGCTGAGGGAGCTGTGATGAGCAAACTTGTTTCAATGGGTTCTTTTAAGAGGTATGTCAATGCTGAATGAGACAAAATACATTAGATTGTTTCTCTTGAATATGAACAGACTACATTTTTAGTCAATTGGTGTGTTAAAACAAGTTGGAGGAAGAGAAAATGCATCATTAGAGAAAGACATACTGAGCAAAAATATATCCCACACTGTACTTATTGAATATTAAATAATGACCCTTGACCCCTTATCTAATACTTTAAACTAATAACTTACAGTTACAGTTACTGCTATAAGTTAAATTCCCAAAATGTTTAACATTAAATATAGTTTCTAACCTCAATCATTTGAGCTATAAATGAGATTGTAAATATGATTTTGTAAGCAAGTTTTTAATTTTTTTAATTTTTATTTTCTACATATAGCTGTCAAGGTTTCATAAAATAAACACATTAGCAAGCATGTAATCATTTATTGATAAAAATCAGTAACTAGTTGATTGATAATAGTTTCAACTTTAGATTGGGTACTCCAAAAACATAAACAATTAATAAATAAGATTTTAATCAGCTTTAATAATTTTTATTCAGTTTAAACCACAGGTTTAATGACATTTAAGTATTCAAATACACATTAATAAATAATCCGTCAAGCAGTTATCTGTTAAAATCATTTGTATATTTTTATAAAGTACATGATCATATATGAATTGAATGTTAAATATTATTGTAATTTGCGTTTAATTTAATCTGTCATTATTTAATTCCAATAAATTAATTAGTAACCATGTACAAGCACATTGTCTCATGTTTGTAGCTTTTTGAAATATATGAACTAATGATCTGTTAAGCATCATATACTGTAATGTTAGTTCAAGTTTTATTAATGAAAGTCATTATAAAATGTTACCACAGATTTAAAAACTTTATACGATTCAATACCATGAATCCTGCAAACCGACAATCTCTGGTTTCTAGTTCCTAATCATGATGGGAATTATTTATTATTTCCTGACAGTATATTTGTTCATTCATTGATTTACTGTGAATTAAATTATGATGGAATTGATTTAAAACAAGGACATTCTCAACCCAGGCTCATTGGAAATATCTGACTGTGGCAACATTTCTGCAAAAGTATATTATGGTGCTTCTTGTATGTTTATATCCTAAAATATAAATATAAATGTAGCAATGTATTATTGTTAGTTGTTGTATGTATCACAGAAGTTCTCAAATGTGATGTCTGGAGAGTGACCCTAAAGGCATAATGTTTTATAATGTTTGAAAATAACTACATTAAACAATACCACCTACACCAAACCCTGCCCTAAACCTAACCGATAATGTTAACAAAAACAAATGTCAGATAAAAATGCACTTGCTGAAGCACCCTTGGCATTTTAGCTTGCCTCTACAAATCTTTGAGCCCTTTAATCGTGACTCATGCTTCACAGAACCGTACCCGAGCACTCCGCATCGCATGTTCAATGCTGTATTGAGTCAGCAAGTTTACTACGTCAGAAAACCATACATATGCAATTGGTTATGTGATGCAAACATGAAAATTTATTAGTTTAGTAAGTGTGCTTTGAGGTCATGAGATAAAGTATTGTGCAAGAAACTGCACAGAAATAAGTCTTTATTAACTGATAATCAGTGTTCATATCAACTGGAAACTCCAGTCAATTGTATGTACAGATACGTTTTAGACTCAAAAATAAAGGTAGAGCACATATTTCCACTGTGTCTATGTTAGGAACTTTGTGATTTGGGGCTGCGTTCTGCAGGGCAAACATTCAGAATTAGTGAATGTTACGTTTTAAGCTTAGGAAAAATATTTATTCATATTAGATCTATGAAAGCAGCTTCTTTGTATTTTAATATCATTTGGATTGCTCATGAGAAAGGAGAGAGAGAGATGATGATGATGAATACTCTCCCATATGTACACATGGATGTGAAATGAGTCTTCTGCATACATCACTGGTTGAGGTACAGAAAGTGCCGCAAGCAATGACTATAATTATCTTTGGTTTACAATTAAATGTGATGGAAGAGAAGGCCAGCTCAGGGCCTTACACACACAAACACACACAACTCACTCTCATTACTGTAATAAAAAAAAATAACTTGTGAGAATACATGTGGTGTACTATACACCGCGTGCATAATTATTTGGTACGTTGATATTCTGATGATATTTTTTTCCAAGCACATTTTACTAATTCCAAACCACATCAATCTTAATAACTACTATTGATTTTGTATTTAATCATTTATAAGTGATATATAATTGTCCATGAAGGCTGGAAGTGAAAAAGTCCTTATATTCAGGTGTGCAGAATTATTAGGCATGTTTACTTTTACTGATAAAATTAGCCAAAAAAGAGGTTTAACTCAGACTGAGAGGTCAAAAATTATTAAATCCCCATGAGAAATATTTAAAACTAATGCAATACAGAAATTGCAAAGTTAAGACATGACCATTGGACAGCAAAATGCTCACTGGGTCAGCGGGGTCAGAAAAAAAACAGGTGGAGAAGAAAAGATACATGTTAACTGCAAACGATTAAAAAATTAATGTGAAGAATTAGGTGTAAAACCATCAGGAAACATTTAGAGCAAAATGCTCAGTGTGTCAGCAGGGTGAGAGAAAATCAGGTGGAGAAGAAAAGACACGTTAACTGCAAAATAATTAAGAATTAACGTGAAGAATTAGATAAAACCACCAGGAACCATTTAGTCTCCAGCGCCACCATTTTCCAGAACTGCAAGCAACCTTGAGTCTCTAGAATTACAAGGTGTCAGGTTCTCAGAGACTTTGCTTGGGTAAAAAATCCTAAAAAATGTCCCTCACTTAATAAGAATAACATGCTGAAGTAGGGCTGTGCAAAAAATCGAATGCGATTTTCATGTGCATCTCGTCAGTAAATCCGCTCCTGTGATTAGTAGTAAATCTCCAGCACGTGCGTTCAGATGGAGCAGCATTTACTACACAGAGCCGTAGTTCACTGACAAGCTACACAAAATCGTGTTCAAAAAAATACCTTGCTACGTGTACTGCATTAAGCTTACTGAGACTTGTTATAGCACTTGCATATCATTGCTCTTTTGTTGATTTTGATTGCTTCCATTGTCCTCATTTGTAAGTCGCTTTGGATAAAAGCGTCTGCTAAATGTAAATGTAAATATCAACGTGCCTAATACTTATGCACGTGGTGTAATTTGTATTTCACAAGTTCATGTGTTCATTTTCTTTATGGTATAATATACGGGTAAAACTTTAGGGAACGATTCTCGCTATTAAGTAGTTGCTTATTAGCATGTATATTGCTAGCATATTGGCTGTTTTATTCTGCATTACAACATTTTAGATCTCTTAACCCTGCCCCATGTCTAATCTTAACATCTACCTTACAACCTATTAATAAGTAGTACATTAGGAGTTTTATGAGGCAAATGTCATAGTTAATAGAGAGAATTGGTCCCCAAACTAAAGTGTGACCAATATATCATTAGTTAAACTCCCATACATGTGCTTGTCATTGACATTTGCATCTGCCACAGTATGGTTTTGTTATATTTTTACAAAATAATAATCCTGGATAATATGCATTAATAAAAATACTAGCAGAATGAAGAATGTGACTTTTTTTCCAGGGTGAATCTGTATGACTATCGGTCAATCTGTAGGGTGTATGCGCAGACCAGTGATACAGCACACACACTTTTGCACGTGAGTACCATACAAAGCCATTACATTTGTGATTTTGCTTATGTTTCTCATTGTAGTTTCTTCTGACCCAATATTTTGTATTTTTGCAAAAGCAGAACTCTAAAACATATTTTCTTATTATGCCCCCTCATTGAAGTCCTTGATACATACATCCACGTCGTATCAGCAGCTTGTCAGTTCTCCATGGACATGTTTGAGACGTGTTTCTCAGTTCTGCAAACATTAATATTTTATGTGCAACAACAGCATGCTGTCTCAGTGGCCTGACACGTGATTTTAAATCTATTTTTTTTCAAACTTTATGATTTAAATGGGGATGATTGTACTGAGAATAACTTTCATCTTTTCTTCAACTGAATACTGTTTCCGTGCTGTTTTGATGTATTTTAAAGAGTTGGCAGTCAAAATTAAAACTGCTGGATGATAGATATTCTTCATTCTTTATGACAAACAAGATAAAGTGAATTACAGAATGTACAACGTTTTTAAAATGTATCAATTGCGGTGTACAGCGTTTATTATGAGGGGGTAGAATCCACAGCTCAGTACTCACTACTCAATACTCATGAGTACTTTTAAATAGGCTACTCTTTTACTCTTACTCAAGTAGTTTTTTGGATAAGTACTTTTACTCTACTCACACTACATTTTTTGGAAGGTAATGGTACTTTTACTTGAGTATATTTTTTCAGTACTCTTTCCACCACTGCAGATTATACGCCACAGTCTAGTTAATGAATGGGAAACACTGGTAGTAATTTAAAGCTTTTTATATATTTTTATCATGTCTGTGAGGCAATTCGCTGAGTTAAGGTTCATCATTGTGAAGCGCTCCTGTTCAAACCCGAGACGGCAGAAAGAGTTTGTTTCCTTTATTTTATAAAAGCACAACATTTTGTTGATATTGTGAGTGCACACAAATAAAACTAGACCCTTTACAGTTTAG